TCCGGGACCAATCGGTCCAATCGGTGCATCCGGCTTACCGGGTCTTCCGGGACGAAATGGACTCACAGGTGAGAAATTCGGCTGGCTGGTTTCTCACTCGTATTGAGCCACCTCCATTGCTTTAAGCCACCTTCAATTTGCTCGTATCGGAATTTCCAAATCTTAAAAATTTCACTGAAGATTGTCTTGATCGATCTTATTATGATCAGAATCGGAACTGAAGTGGCTCTGATTTTAAGAAGTGCAATGAAATCATATAAATCATTATTTAGTGTCTTTATAAGTATTTGGTGAACTCAAGAGAGTAGTACTTCTTATTGGTGAGTGTGCTCGAAAATGCACTTTCAAGGTCGTTTCAATGAACAACGATTTTCGATCACATTCGAAGGTGCTGATGAGCTCTAAGCAAAAAATCTTCCAACTCGTTGAACACTGCATTATTTTGAGTGGAGCACTGAAATTGCAATAAATAAAACGTGTTTTTACTGCAACTGCAGCTAAACTCATTCTGCGAAGTTATAAAAAATTGATTAGATAGTACTTTCGAATGCATGAGAATTATTCACCCTTAACTTAAGCTTGAGCAAAAAATTTAGGTGATTTGAAAAGTTTCACAAATAGCAGCGAAGTTGACATGAAGAGAGGAAACGCATAAATGGAATCAATGTTATGTTTAATTCAGGACCGCAAGGTGAGCGAGGTTGGCCAGGACCAGCCGGAGAAACCGGTGAGCCAGGCTACCCAGGTCCGGAAGGACCACCAGGCGGTCAGGGACCTCCAGGTTCGCCTTATTTCTTGTCACACTTCATTTGGATTAACTGTTGAATTGTTACTAGTGCCGCAGTTAAATTTTATCATCATTACTATCAGTATCATTATTTTTATTCACAATATTATTATTCGTATGACTGAAGAAAACCGCAAAATTACAGGAGAACCAGGCGTATGTGTGTGTGAGAACGTTGACTCTATTATTCTGGTTAATCCGTCAGCATCTCAGCCACGGCTTCCCAGCGAATGGCCAATAGATTCAGAGGAGAACTTTCAGCCAAGACGCGTCGGTGGCTATGGGGCTAGGACTCGAGTTTAAGTCTATCTTGTTCGAATCGCCCTCAGCTTCGCTTAAGCCTTAGTCATTGAGCTTGAAATTATCATCATGAGCTGCTGATCGTCTCTTCCACTGAAGTGAGTACGCTGGCCTGATGTTCTGGCTTCGAATTCTTGCCTGGCTGCCGCTCTTGGCCTAATTGTAAACTTTATTTGGCTTACAATTAGAGCAATTTCTGAGTTCAACTGCTGTTTATACCTCTCTTGAATCGGTTTTCACGTTCAGCTTCATTATCATCCAGAACAGTGATATGCTTTGTTCACGCGCTTTGGCCTATTCGTTCCTTCACTTAATCTGAGCGAAATCCCGGAAATCCGGACGAAAAAATTTGGGGGGATTTGAGGGATTTCAAGAAGATTTCATTATATCAAAAAGTCAACAAATGAGATATTGCCGAACAGGACAGGAAAGTATGCGATGCTTGAGCTTGCAGGTGAACTCATTGTTCAGATCAAGCACTAGCTTATGCTCAAACATCAGGCCACTTTCAGCCTAAGTTTAAACTGAAGTTAATGCATTTCTAAGTTTCATTTATTAGGCACGTCTAAGCCAACCCAAAGGCACCGAATTTTTTGGAAATCGAAATAGAATTTAAAAGATTATAGTTTCATTTGGGTTTGCGAAAGTTTTTATCTGTATTCGTTCAGAGCCGCACAAAGTAATGATCAAATTTTTGTGATTGAAGGAAGGAAAAGCCTTATTCTTTTCTCGTTGTTTGCTCACACTTCTACTATTTTGTCATTTTGTCATTTATATTTTTTGTCATTTTTGTTATTTTGTCTTCTATTTTGTCTATTTTGCCATTATTTCAGTTGTCTGCATCGTTGTTATAAATCTTCTGACTGTTACCATTAGTATTGTTAATAATGTTATTGATGTTTTCATTTGATTGTTATAATTATATTATTATTGTCATTATTATTATTGCTATAATCATTATCTTAAATGATATTCCGTTTGGGAATTCTTTGCGAAAACTTTTTGCGTTTTGTTTTATTCAGTTCATTTTTTTAAAATGGTGTTTCGATGCTTTTTCAAGCAAAAAGTGCATCAGAATACAGCTCGCTTACTCGGCGATATAAACCAAAAACGTGTCCAGACGTCTATGTTTCAATTTTTATTTTTGTTATGAATTTTTTGCAGTAGTGTCTTCGTTGCCATTATTATTATTATTATTATTATTATTAGCATTAATATTATTGTTGCTATTTTTGTCAAAAATGTCCGTCATGCGATCAGATGCTCGTTTTGACAGTTAAAATGGGCATTATTAATCAGAATAATAACATTCCTCCGTGTCTTCCTTCGAATATATTCTATAAGTGCCTTCGTAAATATTTCTTGACTTTGATTTTAAGTTCTTAATCAGAATTTTTATTTTTAAGCTCATTCACTGGAATGAATTCGATCATTAATATGTTTTGAATTCATCGACAGCAGTTATTGGTCTGCTCACCTTTATATCAATTATCATTTGACCATTGAAAATGCTATGTTATTTACTCATAATAATTAATATTACAACGCATTGTATGTACGTATAATAAAGATCATTTTATATACAGTCTATTACAGCTCCATCCGAATTCCGGACTCCCTGCACTGTCCGTTTGATGGAAATCCCCATAATAATGGTGATGAGCAATCAGCTAGAGAGATCAAATGAGAATTTGATGATTCTGTGCTGTTCTCAGTGTTTTCTCGCATTTTACTGCCGATCTCCAAGCTAAAGCCATTGTTATCCTATCGGAGCCCATAAAGGATGTGAAAAATCCGGCTGGAATAAGAAAATCTGGCTAAAATGTTGGATGAAGAGTGGAAAAGTCTGAAATTTGATCAGTGTAATTGTAAGCGTAAGGTTGAGGCTAAGTTTCGGAGGTATTAGCCTAGGATAAAGCGCAAGCTTGCTTAAAAGCTTAATCAAGTTCGAAATTTTGAATTTCTGACAGTTTTACTTTATAAAGTCCATTGCATGGTAGTTATGCGATCGATGGATGAGCGATCGAATTGGGATCTTTGGACGAAAGCGCACGACGAGTGATTTTTCGATATTATCGCTAGGTTTACATGAAATGACAAATGGATATTGAATAATGAAGAATGTGATTATTATTATTGATATCACAGCTGCAGTGTTATTATTACTGAAGGTGCTTCGGAAGACAGATTCAGGTGGCGTTTATTTTTATGGTACTCGTTGAAATTATCATTGCATTAAGGTTCGTGTGACAATCATGTGAGATTTTTTGATATCTGGGATTAAATAGTGCGTTCTGGATAGAGGGGAGATTCAATGTGGTCTTAGATCGGATTTGCAGTCGTCAAGCTTCGTCTCAATCGCGAAAACTCCATCCACTAGCCGAGTTCTTTATTCTTTTTAGGAATTTAAATCTGTTGTTGATGATTGCCTTTGCACACTTCCACGTTGTAGGAGATCCGTCTGGGCATCGCTTTCAGAATCTGGTGAGTGTCCAGTTGATTTCGGACGTGTTTGGGATGAAGTTGTTGATTTGATCAGATGGTCACCGCAGGAGGATGGCTCGATAGTTGCAGAGGTTTCCGTGACAGTTGAGCTCGAGGTCTTTGGGAAGCGTTCACCAATTTGAAGTGATAGCACGACAGCTGAAGTAGTGGGCTATTGTTAAGAAAGGATTTGTTTCAGATTGAATCTTGAGGTGAGTATCTTTTTGGAAAAGCATTTTTGACGACTGGCTTAATTCCGAGCACTCTTCGAATATTTTTGATCTAGCTATCAGATCAAAACCAATCAAAATATTTCTTCTGCTCTATTGTGATATGAATACGCTTCAGAGAAATTTGCAGCTTATACAAAGGCTGCGAAAGAATATGATTTGAACTGATCATGAGAGAATAA